TCAAATTCACCTTTGACGAGAATCAAATCTAGGACCTCTCACTTACAAGCAAGGTTCTAAAAAACGTTAGGCTCTAGTCGGGCGTCGGGCTGGAGTCTAGCGCCTAGGCGGCTAGGCTGTCTAGGTGCCTAGGTGGATTTAAGTAAATCTATTATATTTCGTGTAAATAAGTGTCCCGTTTTCACTTAAAATATATATAATTTCATCATAAACTACAAAATAGAATGACATATAATTATGAAGTATTAGAACATAATGAAAACATGGGAAACAAGCATGTAGTGTTTGTTCATTTAACTATTCAACAAGTCTCTTCCAATTTATTGAAAAAAGTAAAATAGAAAATGAAAGTTATCTATTTTCTGTTTAAGTAGTCGCAACCTTGGTAGGTGCCTAGGTAGTCTAGGTGGGTGCCTCATCAAGTCTAGGCACCCTTTCTTAATTTTCAAATGCTTAGGCATTAATCAGGGCGGTGGCCAGCAGCCTAGTGCCTAGGCGGCGCTAGGCGAGGATTTTAAGAATAATGGTTAAAAGTGAAGAGAAATACCACTAGACTGTAGTACTAAGTGGCACTGCATGGCTTAAGATGGGAAACATACAGATATTACAAGCTATTGCAAAAGGAACCTTGGTGATTGAAACCAAAAATAGTACGAGGCATATCAAAGAGGTTATGCTTGTTCCTGATTTAGATAAAAACTTGCTAAGTGTAGGCCAAATGCTAGAGCATGAATATTTCTTATTGTTTAGAGATGATAAAGTTGAAATATTTAAAGATAGAAGCCTTGAAAGACATGTGGTCGCCGTACAAATCACAAGAAACATATGTTTTCCTCTCATCATGAAGGATATAATGCCATCTGCATTGAAAGCAATAGCTGAAGAAGACTCTTGAGAGTGGCACAAAAGATTTGGTCACTTGAATTTTCAGAGTTTGCATATGTTGGCTAATAAGGAAATGGTATTATGCCTATCTAAATTGAAGAAATCAAATGTTGTCTCTAAAGGATGCATTGTAGGAAAACATCACTGAGAGGCGTTCAATAAGGAAATGACTTGGAGAGCAAATAAGCCATTGGAGTTGATACACTCTGATGTATGTAGTCCTATGCAGGTCGCTACACTTGGTGGAAATAGACACTTTCTGATATTTATTGATGACCATACCAGAATGTGCTGACTATATTTCTTGAAGCCTAAGTCAGGCGTATTATGTGTATTTAAAAGCTATAAAGCTATGGTTTAGCTTGAAAGTGGTTATCAAATTCACAAATCGAGACGTGACTGAGGATGAGAATATACTTCTCTAGAGTTTCAAAGCTTCTGTGATGATCTAGGCCTTGAAAGGCAACTGACAGTGGCTTATTCCCCTAAACAAAATGGTGTTGCTGAGAGGAAGAACATGACCATTATTGAAATGGCTAAAGGCATGTTACTTCATAAGAATCTACCTTTTGATTTTTGGGGAAAAGCTTCTAACACTGCAGTATATCTTCTAAATAGATGTCAACTAAAGCTTTGTAGGACAAGAATCCATTTGATGCATTTAGTGGTAGAAAGCCAAGAATAAAACATCTCAGAGTGTTTGGCTGCATTTGTTACAATCATGTTCCTGGACAACTGAGATAAAACTGGATAAAACTTCTGTGAAAGAGATCTCTGTTGGTTATGTGAAGTTGTGAAAGGTTACAGAGTTTGTAACTTAGCAATCAAGAAGGTTTTTGTGTCAAACAGTGTTATATTGATGAAGAAGGTGTATGGGACTAGAAAGCTGAAAATGCAATTGCCATGACATTTTCAGTGAATTTGAACCTGAATGAGAAGGAACAAAAATAATCCCATGAAGAAGGTGTATGGCCGGTCACCCTCCTATAAATACCCCACGTATCCCACTAAAATGCTAAACCATTTTGCTGCCCAAAAACTCCTAAAAATACATTCTTTTAAAAATAATAACTTTGGTATGAGAGATTCTTCGGCCAAAGCCCTGCCGTTCATCGTGGGCGGGTGAGGCTTTTGGCCTTAATCGAAGGTGTTATAATTTTGCAGGTGCATTTTTGTCAAATTAACATACAGCGGAAATTTGCATCCATAATAATCAAGCACATCATCACATAATGATTCCTATTACACCAATTCCAATTTATCAAAACCAAAATTGAATAACAACGTATACAATAACCGAAATCCTGAGTGAGTATGCTAGCAATATAGTTTTCCTGCTACTAATTTCTAGAAAGGCATAGGACTATAAATTCGTATTACCTCTTCGAAACGCATGAATTGAAAGTAACGTCCTGCATGTCACAGTCATACCACATGGTGTGCGCTAATTTGTGGAGTTTAAAAGACGAAAACGGGTGAAGAGGTATAATTTATTTGTTTTTAATTAAACACCTAAATGGCGTTGTTTTGTTGGTTTTCCAGGGAATAAAAGAGAAACGTCGAGCGCAACAACAACAAAGTTAGGTGCTAGTTGGACACCTGATTGGGCATTAGCGCTTAGGTGAGGAGGCGGACTAGGCAGATTTAAATAAATTATTATATATTATATAAATAAGTGTCTAATTACAATGAAAAAATTATACTTAAATTAGGAGTTTGGGTTTATTTAACATACAACACATAAAAATGTTAGAATTTTTGCTTTAATTAGTGTCTTAGTAATTTGATTGTATGAGATGAAAATTCAAGCAGTAGCTCACTATATTTTGAAAAAAGACATTGCTTTTAGAAACATGGTAGACTTTCCCTTTCTATACTTTTTCACAATCATTGCCAAACAGATTTTTTATAAAAAAATATTTCTTTTTTGTTTTGTCAAACACATTTAATATTTTAAATTTTTTAATAAGCTATATTTTTTAAAAAAAAAACATCACAATTCCAGACCAAAGCTAAAAAGCATAGGCTAAGTGATGTATACATGCAAGTGGTAACTGATGTAATATATCTGGCGCCACACCTCCCGATTTTTTTGTCGGCATATATATATATATATATATCATCTCCCAATTCATAAGGCCTTTAGTGAATAGTATTGAAGGTGGCAGAAGCTCATAGGATGACAACCAAAGAAGACAAAAATGTTACTTTGCCACGAGGGAGAGAGAAAATGAGTCTCTCTGCATCATCTTCTTCGTTGGGACAAGGAGGCTCCTCCTCCTTCAGCAAACCATACCTCATTTCCGATAGAACCAGAGGTGTGGCAGCACAGAAAATCAGACTCCTGGGCTTCTTTTCCGGCTAGAAGAGGGGCGGCCGTCCTCTTTGCGCCATAATAGGTTCGCCCTTGATAACAGGACGCATTCAATATTAAAACTCTAACAAGAAGAAAAAGATCAGGATTTAATTCAAAGATTAAATTCTTCAACCTTATCGGTTATGTACTTACGTAAAGAATTCGGGTCATAAATTTCTACTTTTTTATTGGGTCAAATAATTATCTATTGGTTGAACAAGTCTCTGTAGCTGGAGCCTGGCGCATACGAAAAATCTCATCACTGATCGTCCATATTGACCTTCAGAAGTTATGGCTTCAAGTTGACTCATAGTACATTATTAAACTCGTCCATACTCAACTTTTTTATATCGACCTTCAGAATGGGTATTGGGTATTGAAGCTTTCAACAGTTGGCAGACATAATATAAAAATGCAGATAAATGACTCTTTGTTTCCGAACGCAGATAATATTTTTCTCTTGTTGGAAAACTCAAGGGTATTTGATCATTTCAGATTAAGATGAGATCGATCGAAGAGTTGTCTACTTTATCTTACTTTTCACATAATCACAAGTCCTACCTATTCTGAATCTCAATTTGGATATCATATAGACAAAACACTGTTCAAATTGAAGACTGTTTAGTCATCTAAATGTATCAATATAATGAATAGTTCATTATAAATCTTTTACTTGGTGTCTACACCGTGAATATGATTCATATATTTAGATGACTAAACGATCTTAAATTCGATTAATTCTTTTTGTTTAGATGATCTTCAAATAAATATTAAGAAACTGAACCATCCCAATGTAAAATTTGTAGAACATGTGCATTCCTCGTTGGTGGAATGCAAGGATTATCCATTCTTTTACGTACATACGCAACTTTTGGTTTCATGAAACGGGAAAGGGATTCTCTCCGGATCCCTTCCACCAATTCCACCAATCCGGACTCTTGAAATTTGATCAAACGACTAAAAACAGGGCCCCCTTTAAAAGTTATAATAACTTTAACCGTTGGATCAAATTTTAAGGGTTCTGATTGGTGAATTTGGTGGAAGGGAACCAGAGAGGATCCCTTTCCCATGAAACGTGCTTTCTTTTAAACTGCAGACCATGACCTGGTCTTTAAACTAGGACTTCAAAATTCAATTCGAATTTTAACCCTTTACTATTCTCATGAGCAAGAGGTCACATTTGGTGCGATGACAAGTGCCTTCGCCCATGAGCGGTAGGTCTTGGGTTCGAGACTTGGGAGCAGCCTCCTCATAAATGGGGGTAAGGCTAGCCGACATTCACCTCTCCCAGACCCTACGTAAAGCGGGAGCCTTGTGCACTGGGTACGACCTTTTTTACTATTCTCATGAGCAAGTACGTAGACACCATATCCCTTCTTCCCTTCCTCTATATAAACCCCATGCAATATTCCAGGAAGGGACAACTTAATTATCTCGATCGATATCAAAATTCCCAAGTTATGGCAATGAAATCTTCAAGATCTTTGCTCTTTGGTGTGCTGCTACTCATTGGCTTTGCATTGACAAATAGCAAAGCTGCTAATACGGATCCACCTGTTCATTGCGAATTTCTCAATCGCAACAGTTTTGAAACAGGGTTCATATTTGGCACAGGTTCTGCATCTTACCAGGTCAATATATATGTATTATATATATATATATCTTCTGGGATTATTTACCATTTTATTGGTATATTTTATACATGCAGTTAGCATCCATGCATGAATTATAATGTTGACATCTTCCTTGCGTGTGTGGTAGTACACTTACGAATATGCATGTATGTATATTTCGGTATGAAGGTGCAGTAAAAAAAGATGGAAGAGGACCATGCATATGGGATACCTACACCCACAAACATCCAGGTCTGTGTTTTAATCAATTGGTAATATGAAAACTTTAGCTACTTCATTTCAAAGGAGTATAATTAGCACCTCATTCTTTTCTTGATGAGGACAAGTATACCTAAAAAACTCCAACCCCTCTGATAACCATGCAATTTGTTGGGAGACAAATAGTACGTGGTCATATGATATGTACAATATATGTATATACTTCATCAATACGCATGCACATAAAGTACTTTGCATATGATATGGATTTCACCATTATGTTTTTGAATACGTGCAGAAAAAATCGCCGATGGTAGTAACGGAGACGTTGCTATTGATCAATATCACCGCTATAAGGTCTAGAATCTCATCACTTTGTTCTCTTGACCGTTTATACTTGAAGGGCACATGTTAACATATTAAATTGGAGCCTTTATAAAAAGCACAATATAATGAGATCCTCAATATTTAATTTTAAACTTTTTTCTTATTATGATATATATCCTTTTGTCATTCTAGGAAGATGTGGGGATTATGAAGGATATGGAGTTGGATGCTTACCGATTCTCTATTTCATGGTCCAGATTATTACCAAGTAAGTTGCTCCACATCCTCATATTTGGTTGGGACCAATGTCAATATATATTGTGCATAAGAATTATTTGTCCTACGAGAAAATTATTCTCTTTATATACTTTTAACTAAATTAATGTGATCGAGTTATCTACTGTATAACCCTTATTTTTCTTGTTATTTTTGTTCGAATTAGATGGAACGTTAAGTGGTGGCGTTAACATAAAAGGAATTGATTATTACAACAATCTCATCGATGAACTCCTACGCAATGGTTAATCATCCTACCTTAAACAATTATTACATGAATTTTTAGAACATCATTCAATCAGGCTTTTAATTTGATTTTACTGATCATGTATATATAGGATTAAAGCCATTTGTGACACTCTTTCATGGGGATGTTCCCCAAGCTTTAGAAGATGAATATGGTGGTTTCTTAAGCCCTCGTATTGTGTAAGTGAACACAATTTATTCTCTCAGTGATAATTTGATAAAATACATACTGATATTCGTAACATAATGTGTATCTACAGCGATCATTTTAAAGACTATGTTATAAGGAATTTGGTGATCGAGTCAAGCACTTGTTCACGGAAAATGAGCCATATACTTTTAGTTACATGGGTTAT